GTATTTTTAGTAGAGACGGGGTTTCACCATGTCGACCAGGATGGTCTTGATCTCTTGACCTTGTGATCCACCTGCCTCGGCCTCCCAAAGTGCTGGGATTACAGGCTTGAGCCACCGTGCCCGGCCTTTTTAATTCTTCTTTTATTAAAAAAAATTTTTTTTGAGATGGAGTCTCACTCTGTTGCCCAGGCTGGAGTATGGTGGTGTGATCTCGGCTCACTGCAACCTCCTACTCCTGGGTTCAAGAAATTTCCCTGCCTTAGCCTCCCCGAGTAGCTGGGGTTACAGATGCATAGCACCACACCCAGATAATTTTTTTGTATTTTTAGTAGAGGTGGGTTTTCACCATGTTTGCCAGGCTGGTCTCAAACTCCTGACCTCAGGATCCACCCACCTAGGCCTCCCAAAGCGCTGGGATTACAGGCCTGAGCCACTGCACCTGGCCTCTTTTCCTTTTTAAATTTCATTGCAATAGCAGACAGCCTGGGCCCTTTCTAGATGAGGTCCATGTTTAGCCAGGTGCTCAGAGGAGGGAAAACGGGGCAGGGAGCAGGGGGCAGGTTGGGGGGAGAATCAGCCTTAATCCTCAAGCCAGCGTCTGGAATACTCTGCAGGGGCGGTCCCTCCGAGAGCAGGGGCTGTGTCCCTAGAGACCAGGCTTCCCCGTTGCTTCCACTTCTTTCCCTCCTCTACGTGTCTATGATCCCTAAGGACATTCTCTGTAAAGGATCACAAAGTGTCAGAGGACAAGGGACTGTGGTCCTTGTGGACCCACCACCATGCTGTTTACAGACAGCCAGGACACAGGCTCTGAGAGTGCATGAGTTAGCCCTAACCCCACACAGGCAGATTTGGGTTGGAGATGCTGCTGTGTTTTTCTGTCAGAGGAGAGTTTGCATTATTTCCTGCCATAAGTCTATGGCCTGTGATGCCCTGGGGCTGCCATAGACCAAGGGAAGGCGGGGTGGATTGGTCCAGCGGGCACGGTGGCTCACACCTGTAATCACAGAACTTGGGGACGCTGAGACGGGCAGACCACTGGAGGCCAAGAGTTTGAGACCAGCCAAGGCCACCAAGAATTTGAGATGGTCAAAACTCCATCTCTCCAAAAATATGAAAATTAGTCAGATGCGGTGGCGGGCACCTGTAATCCCAGCTACTTGGGAGGCTGAGGCAAGAGAATCGCTCGAACCCGGGAGGCGGAGGCTGCAGTGAGCGGAGACGGAGCCACTGCACTCAGCCTGGGTGACAGAGCGACTCTGCCTCCAACAGCATCAACAACAACAACAAACACCAAGAAATGGTAAATCCAGCTCTGCTTCCTAAACCAGAGGCCACTTTTGTTTGTTTTTGTGACACAAGGTCTTGCTCTGTTGCCCAGGCTGGACTACAGTGGCACAATCATGGCTAACTGCAGCCTTCACCTCCTGGGCTCAGGTGATCCTCCCCTCTCAGCCTCCCAAATAGGTGAAATTACAGGTGTGCAAATAGGTGTGCACCACTGTCCCTGGCTAATTTTTAATTTTTTTAATTTCCTCAGTGCTCGGGAGATAGAATTTTCATTTTTTTGTAGAGATGAGGTCTTGCTATGTTGCCCGTCTCAAGCGGTCCTCTTGCCTCAGCCTTCCAACTGTTGGGATTTCAGGTGTGCACCACCGCAGAGGCTGCTTAAAAAAAAAAAAAAAGGCCCCCAAAGCCCAGAGGTTGCTTTAAAAAAAAAAAAAAAAAAGGATGGCCGGGCCCAGAGCTGAGGCAGGAGAATCACTTGAACCTGAGAGCCCGAGGTTGCAGTGAGCTGACATCACGCTACTGCACTCCAGCCTGGGCAACAAAGAGCAAAACTCCGTCTCAAACAAAACAAAAACCTGTATTGTTTGGGAAATTTCAAAAAGAGAGAGAAAACCAGAGGGACCTCCATGTCCCTTCGCCGGCTTCTAAAGCCAACACCTCGGGCTACACCTGGCCACAGCCAAGGCTGCCGCCAATTGACAGGAACTGCAGCACGCCAGAGGTGGCTGCGAGTCAGGCCACCGGGACAAGAGGAGGAAGCCTCACATTTTCCGGGAAGCTCCGTTTCTTGGGAAAGGAAAAGGAAGGACAGGTGGGCTGGGGGCTGTCTACCCACCTGGTGCCCAGCCGCCGCGTTCTCAGCCCCATAAACACGGAACGGATGAGTTTCCCGAAGGAGGCGGCGTTCACTGGGTCTAGCTTGTGCTCCTGGCAGTGCCGAAGGTAGTGGTTGTAAAGGGAACTTCTCGGGAGACTCACACCTTCCGCAGTTTCATAATTATCCAACAGCCACTGGAGCTGCACAAAGAAAGACACGTCTGGTTTGTCAGAATCCTGAGGAACGCTAACATGCCAACAGGCTCATTAAGAGAATTACTTGCTTTCCCTGTATTACCAAACGGGATGAGGAGATCCATCTGAGGAAGTCATCTTTTCTCTTTTTCTTTTTGAGAAGGAGTCTTGCTCTGTCAGCCAGGCTGGAGTGCAGTGGTGCCATCTCGGCTCACTGCAGCTTCTGCCTCCTGGGTTCAAGTGATTCTCCTGCCTCAGCCTCCCAAAGTGCTGGGATTACAGGCGCGTGCCACCACGCCTGGCTAATTTTTGTATTTTTGGTAGAGACAGGGTTTCACCATGTTTCCCAGGCTGGTCTCAAACTCCTGACGTCAGGTGAACCGCTGGCCTCAGCCTCCCAGAGTGCTGGGATTACAGGCATGCGCCACTGCGCCCGGCAGGGAATCCATCTTTATGGTCACTGATGTGTTATGTAAGCACATTAATGAATCGCTCATCTTCATTCATTTATTGATTCTTCCATGCTCAGCCTAGTTTTCAGGTTCCTGGACTCAGTTTATAAAAATCTGGGTGTTTATAAAATCTCAGTTTTAAAAAAACTATTAGGTGCTGTCTTCAGCCACTTAAACGCCCACACACCACCACACAGGGTTTCAATACCAAATAGCTCCACGACATACGGGAATGCAGAGAAATTCTGATGCTAAACAGGAAGACTGAAGAAGGGCCCCACAGCCCCGTGTTCTGTCGTAAGCAGTGAGCTAACATGTACTGAGATCCCTTATTGAGCGAGGTACAAATGGGAATTTAATAAAATACACAAATGCTTATATGCAAGGTTTGGTGTCTAAGTCAAAAGGCAGGACATAGCTACTTGGGAGGCTGAGGTGGGAGGATTGCTTGAGCCCAGGAAGTTGGGGCTGCCGTGAGCTAGTACAATGAGCCACTGTACTCCAGACTGGTCGCCCAAGCAAGACTCTGTCTCTTTCAAAAAACAAAACAAAACAACAAAAAGACGGGTTAAATGAGTCTACAGCCAAGGACTATGCCTCAAGAGGTCAACACCCAGTAAGAAGGGCCAGAACTGTCTACACGAAGAGCTCAGCCCCACACGGGGCATGACGCAAAGGTGGCCTGCCCACCGCGCGATGCCCTGAGCCAAGCGCCTTAAAGGCTGCGACTTCACTCTGCTTTCCACGTCTCCCTCTCTGATCGTCTGTCCCTCTGATCCAGAGAGGTCTGCTATGTGAATAGAAGTCTTTAACGAATGCCTGGAATTTGGAGAAAGACAGGAATTACATGCACAGAAGCAAGGACCAAGTCCAGATACCAAGACAAGAGTGTCGGGGGAAACCAGCTGTCCCTGCCTGGTCCACTCTGTATGAGGCTGCCGGCTGCCATGTCTAGGCTGAGCTTCCAGAGCTCTGAAGGGCTCCTGCTGCCGGGGTGCTCCAGAGAGTGCAGCGCGGGTCCTCAGCCCTCCCCCACCAGCCATGCTGCACCTCACACGACCCTCCGCCTGAGAAGCCCTTGTCCCTGTGCCCTGCACATCCCACAAGACACAAAGGAGGCGTGTCCCCTGGGAAATATCTGTTCACCCCCCGCAGCGTACCCACGGCACCCAACACCATCACGTTTGCCTGTCTGCCCCACCCATACTCAGCATTGCAAGCTGGGGAGAAAGTACGCCATCATCTCCTCTTTATGATTTATTTATTTATTCTTTAAGACAGAGTCTCACTCTGCCGCCCAGGCTGGAGTGAAGTGGTGTGATCTCGGCTCGCTGCAACCTCTGCACCCGGGTTCAAACAATTCTGCCTCAGCCTCCCGAGTAGCTGAGACTACCTACAGGTGTGCCCCACCACGCCCAGCTTATATTTTTCGTATTTTTAGTACAGATGGGATTTCACCATGCTGGCCTCAAACTCCTGACCTCAGGCGACCTACCTGCCCTGGGCTCCCACAGTCCTGGGATTACAGGTGTGAGCCACCGCACCCGGCCTTCATCCCCTCTTTATGAAATAGCGCTATGGGGTCCTGACCAGTGCCTCAGGATCCCTCCTAGCTCAGCTAAGCCCCACCCACTCCAGCCTGTCCTGGCCCTCCAGCCCTAACAGGGGCTGACCCAGGGCCACACTGGAGTGAGGACCTGCCCTGGTTTCTGGAACGTTTCACAGGATGACAAACTGGCCAAAAGTTCAGGTGAAGGGGTACGCGGGGCCTGAGCGCAGAGGTCTCTTAAACTGAATTGCAGGTAAGCTGCAGTGCTGAGTTCCAATTTAGAAAGGGGGAGGTTAAGTCTTGGGCTGGAGTTCAGGGTAGAGAGTGGAACCAGATGTGTCACTCTGGCACCAAAGAGCTGAGGACAAGACCTCCAGGGGGGTGGGAAGAGTCACCCAGCAGGGGCACTGCCCGCACAGGTGCTGAGACGAAGAGGAGCGCTGGGATTACAGGCACATCACCAAGGCCTAGGTCTTGGAGTGCAGGTCCAGCCTCATGTGCAGCCTCTGGGGCAAACCAGGAGGGCTTCAGGCTTCCCGACACAAGCTCTCCTCCAGCTCGGCTCCTGCAGGCAAGTCCTGTGGCCAAACATCCCCCCCACCAAGGGAACAAGAGTGGTTCCTGCTGGGATCCCTGCGCTTGGATTCCGGTTCCCTGGCAGCCCTGGAATTACTCAACCAGCCTATCACCTCCTCCTCCGCAGCAGGGGCCCCTCGCCCTCTTGCTATGACGAGGTCTGCCCCCTGCCGCCCGCAGGGGCCTGTGTGAAGCGCAGTGTCTGCCCCTGGCCATGAGTGCAGGTGATTGATAAGCAGTTGCCAATTTCATCCGTCCGGCGTCGGGTGCCGTGCGCTCGGCTGTACCCATAACCACAGGGAGGGACCCTCTTGTCCTTTGAATAAGAGAGTTAAAATAAAGGACCACGAGAAGGGCCCCGGAGTGAAGACTTCGCCTCTTCCTCATTTGCCTCTTTGGGAAAAGGACATCAGATTTTTTACTTTCCATCAAGCCATTCACACCTTTCATCTTCCAGCCTTCCGGACTGGGATTTTCTGATCCGACGGAGGCAGAGTTGCTCTTTTCTCCTCCAACGTCTGGCTCTGGCAAAGTCCTTGGACCCTTAAGAGCTCCAGAGTTCCCTGTATTTAATGCTATGAACCACAACCTTGACGTTGAAATTAGTGTGTGTGTGTGTATATATACACATATATATGTGTGTGTGTACATATATATACATATACATACAGAGAGAGAGAGAGAGAGCGGGAGAGAGAGAGAGACAGACAGGCTCTCGCCCTGTCACCCCAGGCTGGAGCGTAGTGTTACCATCATGGCTCACTGCAGCCTCCAACTCCCGGGCTCAAGCGATCCTCCTGCCTCGGCTTCCCAGTGCTGGAATGACAGGCGAAAGCTGGGGCATGGGCCCTGAAGCTTTTCTTCACAGCGCCTTCACCATCTGGATTTGTCATGTGTGCTGATTGATTTATTGCCTGTCTCCCTCGGAGTGCTTGCTCCCTGAGGGTGGAGATGGAGCCAGGTTTACCCATGTGTTCATCTACAGGATCGTGGAGATGTCTCAAGCCTAGCAGCAGAGAAAGACTGTCTGAGGAGGTAGGTCAGGAGCAAACAGTGGGCATCCAGGTGAAGAAGACAGAGGCTTTCCTTGGTCATTCTGTGGCTGGGGGCACAGGTGCCACTTCTTAGATTGTCCCATGGGCAGCAGGAGCCAGGGCCAGTGGCCCCACATCTCAAGGAGCCAAATGATGTCGTGGGTTTTCAGGCTAAAAGTGTGAGGCCAGATTTTGTGGGCGGTGAGCTGGAAGGAGTCCTGAGAGGTTAGAGTCTAAGACTCCATCCACAGCAGGACATACCGGCTCACACATACAAAGAAAGTTTTGGAACAGATCATCCTTCTGCTATTTACTCCTGACCGCCCCCCCCACCTCACCGTGCTATTTAAACTAAGAGTAGAATCCTTTGGTTGGGTGATTATGTTGACATTGACACTAAAAGGATGCTTGGTTTTCTTGACAAGTCCTTCCTGCTCAACATAAAGAAACCACAGAGAAGACAGACTTGGCTGGAACAGTCAGGTCCACTTCCTCCGCCTTCTGCATGGATGAACTTCCGGGAGGAGAGATGGGTGAGGGCTGAGGTGTGATGGGCTTGCAGACTCTGTTGAGGGTCCACGCCTCACCAGCAGGCCAGGGGCTTTCCAGCACTCAGCGCCGGAGCCCACACCCGGCGGTGCATCAGACCGGGGAGAGCATCATAGGTCATTTCTGTGAAACTGACCACGAGGGTCCAGCCGCTCCAAGCACACCTCACCCACCTCCCTTGCTCTCGAGGGCTCAGGTAGCTTCATGCAAAGAAAGGTGGCAGGCTGGGTGTAGTCACCTTTCCGGTTTGGGCATACTCTGCAGTCTGTTTTGTCTGCTGATATATGTGCTATTTCTGTGTCAATATCAAACACGAATAAGCAGAACACTTTCTAAGGAAATGTACATGTGCATCCACATTTGTTGCCATCTGTCAGGACAGCATACTTCTTGATGAAATGGATCAAATCCTTCCTTTTAAGGAAAAAAAATCCCAAAATGCCAACGCCTCCCTCTCCACCTCACCCCCACCACCAACGGCTGGTGGTTCTGGGCTCTTTGCAGGCAGAGCCCCCATGGACAGATGTCCTCACCTCCAGGTGGGAAGGGGGGGATCGTGCCCACCTACCCAGCCCCTTTCGTCTTCTGAGATACTTGTTTCCAGGAATGGGGGCGAATTTACCTGACACTGGCTCCTCCTGGTGGTGAGTTGGAGTCTTGCCAGGTCATACACTAGCAGCCCGGGCAGCTATTCCAAGTGCCCTGTGTGCTCTGTGTTGACATATTCTGGCTTGGAACACCTACCTTTTCACCCATCCCCCAAATATTTATGAGAGCTGGCACTGTGCCAGGTCCTGTTCCAGGAGCTTGGGATTCAACAGTGAGTAAAAGACAAAAAATCCTGCCCCCTGTAAGCGTCCATTCTTGTCTGGCAGAGACCCACAATAAATAAGTAAAATGAACCGAATGAGAGCTGGTTCTGAGTCCTATGAGAGAAATTAACCCGGGAGAGGGGATGGGGCGCCACCACAGAGGGACTGGAGGGAGGACTGCAATTGTAATCGAGGTGGGGTGGGGGTGTCAGGCAGGGCTCACTGAGAAAGTGCCCAGTGTGTGAAGACTCGAAGGAGGTGAGGGAGAGCCTGGGGGAAGAGAGGTTCAGGCTCAGGGCTCCACAGTGCAAAGGCCCTGGGGCAGGTCTGAGCCTGGTGCACTGGAGGAACAGCGAGGAGGCCCATGTGGCTGGAGCAGAGTAAGGAGTGGGAGACAGCGGGTCGTGCAGGGCCTTGTGGGCCATTTTGACAACACTGGCTTCTACTTGGAGGGCCAAGGGGAGCCCCAGAGGCTTCTGAGCAGAGCAGTGCGGCCATCTGACCTGAGTTTTAGCAGGATCACTCTGGCGGCTGCTGTGAGGAGGAGGCTGGGTAAGGGTGCATGCCGAGGGCTGGCTAGGAGGTGGCCAAGAGAATCCACGGGGACAGTGGTCGCTGGGGAAGTAGTCGAGGCAGAGGAGGTGGGGGCACCATCTGGTTCTGGATCTTTCTTGAAGTGAGGTTGAAGAGTGAGGGTGGGCTTGAGAGGGGTGAAGGTGGGGCGGGCATGGGAGGCGTAGGGGTTGTTGGGGGCGGAGGCCGAGCACTGAGCTAAGACGCTAATCCAAGCGGGGCAGGAACACCGAGGGAAAACGGCATGGCCAGCGGGGACTGCGGGGCAGGAGCAGCTTCTGGACAGTCCCCTTCTGAGCAGCTGCCAGCTCCAGCAACCCCTCCACAGCCTACAGGACGGCACGCCATAGCACCAGGCTACACGGGTCACCAGCTGAAGGCTAGATGGCCTTTGACAATTTGCGCTTCTTGATTTCAAAACAAAAAGTCACATAACCCACACACAACTCTTCCAAACGCAGCTCACTCCCACAGGTGTGCAAGCGAGGAGCTTATGTTAGTAGACAGCGCCACCTCATGGTGACGGAGACGCGGTGAACCTGCTGCGGGGTCTGGGTTGGCTGGTCGCCTGAGGGCAGCCTGGTGCCCCCCAGGGGCTGAGGACACCTCTTCTGCTCAAGGCGGCGGCCTGCCACACCCTGTTGGGCGAAGACATGTTTCACCCCCAGCCTCAGCTCCGTTCCCTTCACTCTGGAAGGGCGAATTCACATTTTCACGCCGCCATATCCTGCCCTTCCCTAGTCTGGACACTGCTAGGGGGTCTCCTCCTCCCTGGGGGTTTCCATGCCAGGCTGACCATCAGCTGGCTGGAATGTTCTTCCAACGTGCAGACCCCCGGGCCCTGCAGACCCTCTGGAGGAGAAGCCTGGGAAGCTCCTGTTGACCGGCTGGGTCTGGACAATGCTGTCTCATTTCACCAGGCTCCCAGCACCTGAAAACCCCTTCCCTCCTGAGACAGCGCGCAGACGGAGCCTGCCCTGTGGAACACGTGGCCAGCTCCACTCAGAGACCTCTGCGACCTCTGTGGGTGGGCTCCCAACATTTTCCACCTTCTGCCCTCAAATGCTAAGCTCCCTGGAGTGCCCTTTTTCTCCTTTTTTATTCTCTATGTTCGGCACTGACCTGGCCAGAACCCTGCACACAGTAGGCGGTTGGCTGACGTCACCAGTTGGCAGCAGGAAAGAGGCACACAGGCCCTGCTGCTGGGGGACCCTGCCTGGGGCTCTCTGAGAAGAGAGGTCCAGGAGGACACCGGGAAGATGGGTCCCCAGGGCCCAGCTGCCCCCACACCCCTGGCTTATCTGCCGCAGGATCGGGCTGTCAAGGGAGGTGGGACTGTGGCTGTGCCCCCGCCTGACCTGCAGAAGGCTGCTGCCCGCCACTAGCTCAACCTCAGCCACACGCAGCCCGGGGAAGATCGCCGTGAGTGTGCACCGCCAGGCAGAGGGCACGCTGCCCCGTCCGTCAGCAGATCACGTCCTTTAACTCCTCTCTCCCATCTGCCAAACAAGATCTAGGTTTATTCTGCCCGTGCGTGGTGAACTTTTTAGAAAGATCTTATTTCCACTTCCTTTGCTTTGAGTCACCAAGCCCTGAATCTTTCTGATCACAGCTCATGATGGAAGCAAACAACAGCGCATCATCAGTGAGAACAAGAAACAGGAGACTTTTACCTGCTGGAAAAGTCAGCTTGGGAATGTGACTCTGCAGGGAAGCAACCCGAGAAAGTCTGCCTTTTGGATGACGTATTAGAAAGCAGGGAGGATCCCGGCAGCCAGAGACAAGCGGACCATGCATTTTCCCATAGACATTTTTTTTTTTTTTTGAGATGAAGTCTCTCGCTGTCGCCCAGGCTGGAGTGCAGTGGCGTGATCTCGGCTCACTGCAGCTTCCGCCTCCTGGGTTCAAGCAATTCTCCTGCCTCAGCCTCCCAAGTAGCTGGGACTACAGGTACCCACCACCACGCCTAGCTAATTTTTCTACTTTTGGTAGAGATGGGGTTTTGCCATGTTGGTCAGGCTGGTCTTGAACTCCTGACCTCAAGTGGTCTAGCCACCTTGGCCTCCCAAAGTGCTGGGATTACAGGCATGAGCCACCACGCCTGGCCCATTTTCCTATAGACATTTTAACTCTCCTGTGGATATGCTGCCTACCCCAGCTCTGTGGCCCCATCCTGCCTGCGTCACGTGGCCCTCTCGCCCGAGGCAGATACCCTGGGCCCACATGGGTTTGGTTTCAGGCTGAAGACAGCCTGATCCTTGCTGAATGGGGATTATCATGCTGCACACTTCCCTGTGTATGTGCTCTGAGTTTAAAACTCGGGGTTGGGGAGATCCTCTCTCCAGGCACGTGTGGAAGATTCCTTCTCCCTGAGATCGTCTACAGGGAGGACGTCATCCCGCAGTGACAGATGGCAGGATGACCACGTCCTGCCCAGCCTGGGGACGGGTGGGGCACCGAGCAGGGGTCTGGCGGGGTGTTTCATTTTGTTTTGTCTTTTTTGCTTCAAGACAATCAGCAGAAGCAGATATTTCTGCTATTTCTTGTAGTGACCAGCTCCCGAGGCAGAGGGCAGAGGCCTCGTCAGGGGCTGCCTTGAGCAGGTGACGCCTGTGCCTAACCCATAAGCCCAGGTTTCTGGACCTGTCCCACATCACCTTCCGCCCCCAGAATCACTCACTGCCTTTTGAGTAACGCCTCACGTTAAACCTCGGTCAGCACGGAGTCACGATGAATCACTCAGGATTGGGTTCCACTCAAGGGGACTTCTTCCTCTTTGATGTCTGAATTCTCAAGGGAATGTCACATCCCAATTTAAGTGCCAGAGAGCAACTCCTGGGAGCACATTCTGACTTCAATGGTCCTTCCTAGTTTTAAAATGGCAAACAATTTCCAGCTATGTGCAAAGCCGAATCGAGAACGTTTGGGGAGAAGTGAAAGCGACAAGTCTGAGGAGGCCAGAGTTGTCCTTCTCTTTTGTCCCTGGGCATAAAGACAGAGCTGGCCACCTCCTCCAGTCCCCCTGCTACAGAGCTGTGCAGAGCTGAGATGCCCACAATCTCCTGTCATGGGGCCTGTGATCACGGTCTTCTCCCAGGAGACAAGGGGAGGAGAAAAATCTTACACGCTAAAATCTGTACAAATTATCTGCTTGATGCTTTTCTCAAATTACTGTTTCTTTCCAAGAGAGGACTCCAGAAAAATGAGCTGAGAATCTACGGCATTCTTGACCCTGTGTATTTTCTCTTTTTGTTGCCGTTGCTGACTTTTGTTCTGTTTTATTTTTCATATATAACTATACTGCTTGTCACCTGCCAGGTATTGTTGAAAGTATTTTGCATTTTGCATATATTAAATAATTTGCTCCCTATGACAACCCAAGGAGGTAGGTGTTGTTAGTAACTACCTTTTACAAATAAAGAATCTGTTGATTTCTCCTTCATTGTTGAAGGGTGTTTTTGCTGGATGTAGAACTCTAGATTGCCTTCCCCCCCAACCACCTTTCACAAATGACACTTTAAAGGTGTCATTTTATTGCCTTTGGTTTATTTTATTTTATTGAGATGGAGTCTCAACCTGTCACCCAGGTGGGAGTGCAGTGGCATGATCTCAGCTCACTGCAACCTCTGCCTCCCGGGTTCAAGTGATTCTCCCGCCTCAGCCTCCAGAGTAGCTGGGATTATAGGCACCCGCCACCACGCCCAGCTAATTTTTGTATTTTTAGTAGAGACGGGGTTTCGTCATGTTGACCAGGCTGGTCTCGAACTCCTGACCTCAGGTGATCCGCCCATCTCAGCCTCCCAAAGTGCTGGGATTACAGGCGTGAGCCACAGTGCCCGGCTGCCTTCGTTTGCTTTAAAAATGTCTATGGAGGTTACAAGCAGAGCAGGGACAGGTCACCAGGTCAGACACACACTTACATGGCTGTTGAGTAAACCGCTTTTGTGTGATGTGATTCCTTCGCTTTTTTGGAGGTTTTCAATCGCCATTTCAAGCTAAAGAAAATGTGTGCAGAAACAAAACAAAACAAAATGAAAAAAAAAAAAAAAAAAAGGGAAATCAGATGGTTAGCATCAGCCAAGATTTGTTTTTATTAATATCCAAATAATGATTTGAGCTCCTACAAAGTAAAAATGAGGCTCCACACAGGCAGGGGGTGGGGGTGAGTTAAATTGCGCATTAAAGCTACAGCAGGGAGTGTTGCTTTGCATACGCAGGTAAGCCCATGAGCCCGTCAGACACAAGCAGCAGAAGTCGTGCTGTAAAACCTGCAACTGAATTTTCACCTGGCAAAGGCGTGTGCACATCAGAACATTAATATGCAGCTGCTGCATAAATTCCAGTGTCAACTAAGCCAGCATAATAAATACCTGCTCCTCTCCCCATGCCACACTGATGGGGAACCAGGAGAACGAAAGCAAGGACAGATGGCAGGCTTCACTCCCCAGCAAGCCTGTCTGGTCGCAAAGCCCAGGGTCTCCCCGCTGCTGGATGTTTTGGGAAAACACCAATGAGGCCAAAGACTCAGACCCTGCCATCAGGAGGCTGTAGGATCCAGGGCCACCGGACGCTGTCTGGCGAGCGTTTATCTAGTGGGAGCCGTGTGAAGACGGCGTTTGGAAAAAAAAGAGTTTTGGAAGAAAAGAGTTGGGGAGCTAATGGCAGAACTTCCTGGAGGATGGGGGCTTTTAAGTTGGATCCTGTAGGGAGGTGGGTGGCAGCTCCATGTGAAAAAGGAGACACGCAGATGTGTGTGGCCGCCAAGGCATTCACACGCACTTAGTTCGTTCTAGACTTGCACATGGAAAGCGGCGATGTAAAATCTGCTGCAGCCCACCCTGACCACCAGAGAACTGAGACGGAAGCAAAGGAACCTGAGGTATGCGCTTCCTTTCCTAAAACCCCCAGGGAGGACAAAGACTTGAGGGCCCTTCCTCAAGGAGCAGGTTGAGTGTGAATTTCAGAGAGCAGTGCGCGGAGCTGAGTTCAAGAATGACAGGGTAACTGCTTCTCTTACGGCCTCTGACCACTGTGCGTCTGCCTTCTCTCATTAGCTACCCTTGCTTCAAGTCAAGAAGGATGTCAGGGTCACCTTTAAGAAGTACAGAAGGTTGGCCAGGTGCAGTGGCTCACACTTGTAATCCCAGCACTTTGGGAGCCTGAGGCGGGTGGAACATGAGGTCAGGAGTTCAAGACCAGCCTGGCCAATATGGTGAAACACCGTCTCTACTAAAACAAAAATCAGCTGGGTGCAGTGGCACATGCCTGTAGTCCCAGCTGCTCAGGAGGTTGAAGCAGGAGAATCGCTTGAACCTGGGAGGCGGAGGCTGCAGTGAGCCGAGATTGTGCCACTGCACTCCAGCCTGGGTGACGGAGCAAGATTCTGTCTTAAAAAAAAAAAGAAGAAGTGCAGAGAGTGGAGGGCCGGGGGCACGGGGGAAAGTAGAATGGTGAGACCTACCCCACCCATCAGCCTCAGGGCACAGGCGATGAGAAGGCCATCACCACCTCTATGATAGAAAAAACAAACTTACCACCCCCAAGTCTTGGGGCCAATTCTGATCTGCGGCTTGGGCAGGCAGGTGAGTACTGCCCCATGGCACCTTCCCTGGAGGACACCGTTTACCTGTGGGTGCCCAGAGAGCACAGTGCACGACCTCTGGAAGTCTGCCCTGACCTCAGGGGCCTTGTCTACTGCCCAGCAGACTGGGAAGAGGAAAACACTGTCTCTCCAGCAGAGTGGGTCTCAATCATTTGGTCTGTTAAAAAATACACTATTAAAAAATTTTGAGATTTCATCGCCTCCACGCCCAAAAAAGAGCTTTTTTTTTTTTTTCTTTTCTTTTCTTGAGACAGAGTCTTGCTGTCGCCCAGGCTGGAGTGCACTGACGTGATCTTGGCTCACTGCCACCTCTGCCTCCCAGGCTCAAGTGATTCTTGCGCCTCAGCTTCCCAAGTAGCTGGGTTTACAGGCGTGCGCCACCACACCCAGCTAATTTTTGTATTTTTTAGCAGAGATGGGGTTTCTCTATGTTGGCCAAGCTGGTCTTGAACTCCTGGCCTCAAGTGATCCACCCGCCTTGGCCTCCCAAAGTTCTGGGATTACAGGCGTGAGCTACCACAGCCTGCCTGCTTTTGTTTTTAAAAGTTAAATCTATTATTTCCCTTATTAGCATCAAAATGAATAATTTTAAAAACAACGTATTAATTCATAAAAAAATATAAACCCATAATAGGTTAACACTTAAAGAATAGGTACACTTTCCCAATTTAAAATAAAACAACCCAAAATGAGAAGAGTGGAATGATTCCACATCTTTAAAACAGACAGAAGACAGCTCTATACACCTGCTTCTGTATCTCCGTCTATTATTGTATACTGTTTTAGTTGTACATTGAAAAAACATGGCCTCATACAGCTATACAGCTGGAAAATGAGCACTGTTTTAATAGCCTTTTCAGATAACTGTGGATGTTTTTACTTGATACTACAGCAACACTTGACAACTGGTAATTTCTTAAAGGTTAGCTGCAATGTGGAATCTGAGACCATATTAATGAGCTTTTCATAATCAGTTACATTAAAATCCATTACTCTTGAGCTGACATCCATGAAAATCGCAGAGTAAGGCACTCCAAAATCCATCCCTTCACAAAAGCAGTAAAAAAAATGGGCAAAAACTGTCAGAATTGACTTTCCCAGAACTCTGGAAATGAATTAAAAGATTACGGCAAACAGGTGAACCTGTAATAATAATAATAAAAAAAGATGAAACTCGGCATTTAAGGAAATCTCCATCGAATCACTAGGTGACCACTAAGATAACCAAATAGAGATTTTGGCCTGGCACGGTGGCTCACACCTGTAATCCCAGCACTTCAGGAGGCTGAGGAGGCCAGGAGTTCAAGACCTGCTTGGCTAATATGGTGAAATACTGTCTCTACTACAAATGCAAAAAAAAAAAAAAAAAAAAAGAAAGTAAAAGAAAAGAAAAAAAATTAGGTAGGTATGGTGGCACATGCCTGTAATCCCAGCTGCTGGGGAGGCTGAGGCAGGAGGATCACTTGAACCCAGGAAGTGGAGGTTGCAGTGAGCCAAGATCACACCACTGCACTTGAGCCTGGGCAACAGAGTTAGACTGTCTCAAAAAAAAATAATGCAGATTTTATAAAATTAGTCCAGAAAGGTCCTGAAAAACAAACAATCAACGACACCTGTAAGCAGCAACAGCAAACCCTGGGAGAACAGAAGAATCCAGTATTCAGAGTCACCATGTTATACTATTCAAAATATCCAGTTCTCCACAAAAATTATGAGGCATGCAAGAAAACAAGAAAGTATGCTCCATATGTAAAAATAAACGAATAGGACCATCCCTGAGAAAATCCAGCCATTGGACTTATGAAACAAAGAGTTTAAATCAACTATATAAAATATACTTAAACAGCTAAAGGAAATCATGCACAAAGCACTATAAAAAAAAAATGGCAGGCTGGGCACGGTGGCTAAGATGGGCAGATCACTTCAGATCAGGAGTTCAAGACCAGCCTGGCCAACATGGTGAAACCCTGACTCCACTAAATACACAAAAATTAGCTGGGCATGGTGGTGAGCACCTGTAATTCCAGCTACTTGGAAGGGTAAGGCCTGACACTTGAGCCTGGGAGGCAGAGTTTGCAGTGAGCTGAGATGATGCCACTGCACTCCTCCCTGGGCGACAGAGTGAGATTCCATATCGAAACAAACACAAAAACAAAAGCAAAACAAAACAACAAAACACATGAGAGTCATGTTTCATCAGTGGAGAGTATCAACAAGGAGATAGAAATTGCAAAAAGGAACCAAATAAAAATTCTGGAGTTGAAAGTATAATAGCTGGAATGAAAAATTTACTAGGGAAGGTTCAACTGCAGGTTTGAGCAGCCAGAAGAAAGAATCAGGGAACTTGAAGACAGGTCAATTGAGATTACCCAGTATGAGGAGTAGAAAGAAAAAAGAATGGAGAAAAACGAGCAGAGCCCGAGAAACTTGTGGGACACCACCAAGCTTACAAACCAACACATAATAGGAGTCCCAGAAGGAGAGGAGAGGAAGAAAGTGGTAAAGTATATTTGAATAAGTAATGGCTGAAAACTTCCCAAATTTGTTGAAAGACATAAATCTACACATTTGAAAACCTCAACAAACTTTATGTGGTATAAACTCAAAGAAATACACACCAACGACATATTATAATCAAACTGTTGAAAGGCAAAGACAAAGAGAGAATCCTAGAAGCAGTAAGAGAGAAGTGGCATCACAAACAAAGAATCTTGAATATGAGTAATGGCTGATTCCTCATCAGAAACCATGGAGGCCAGAGGGCAGGGGGATGACAAAGTTAAAGTGCCAAAAAGCGAACAAACCCACATGTTAATCAGCAGGTAAATGGATACACAAAATATGGTCCAAACATACAGTGGAATAGTATTTAGCCACAGCAAGGAATAATGTTCTGACACATGCTACAACATGGATGAGCCTCATACAAAAGACCATATATTGTAGAAATCCTTTTACGTGAAATATGTGGAATTGGCAAATTCCTAGAGACAGAAAGCAGAGTAGCGGCTGTCAGGAGACGGAGGAAGGGGACAAGGGAGACTGGCTGCTAATGGGGTTGGGGTTTCCTTTCAGGGTGATGAAAATATTCTGGAACTAGATAACGGTGGCGATCGTATGACACTGTGAATTGTCCACTTTAAATGCCACTGAATTGTCCACTTTAAAATGGTTAATTTTATGTTACATGTATTTTACCTCAATAAAAAAATACATATAACTAATTTCAAGAAGTAATTTTAGTCTTTCTTGCAACTTGAATGAATATTTTACTAATGGGCATGGTTTTGTAACATCATATATTGGTCACTTGAAAAGTATGAGTTTACTGAGTGTGCAGATCTTCCAAACATTGCCACATTTCATTAAATAGTGTCAAGAAATCATGTTTGT